GATTCCTTGCTGGATTTCTTCACTGATGGGGGAGGCTTTTATTTTGGATTTGGTAGTTTTTTCTAGGTAGGTGGTGGGGTCTGTCTTTAGGGGTTTGTATGTGGGGTCTTGGAGTAGGTTGGTTAGCTTGGTTTGGTAGTCAGATGTGTTCATAACCACTGTCGCGTTGCCCTTGTCTGCTGGTAGGATTATTATGCTGGTGTCTTCTTTCAGGTTAAGTAGTGCAGTTTGTTCTTCTTTGGATAAGTTGCTTTTGGGTGGTTTGCTAGTGCAGAGGATGTTGGTGATTTCGAGTCTGATTTTGTTAGCATCATCAGGGTTGGTTTTGGTCAGGCTGGTTTCAACTCCGCATATGATGGTTTCTGTGGGGATGTGTTTGGGAGCGACAGCAAAGTTGAATCCTTTTGAAAGGACCTTGGTTTCAGCTTCAGTGAGGATCTTGTCTGAGATGTTGTGCAATGTTTGTTTCATGTGTGTCATATTGTTTTTGCTATGTTTTTAGAATTTTTCTTTTTACATTTTCAAGGGGAAGTACCAACCAGAGTCTGAATGATGAAATTTACATGATATAAAATAGATATTAGAAATTTGAATGTTATAATTTTAGAACGTACAAATTCAATGTTTAATGAGATTTCATATTATAATCACAATAAGATTTAAAGGTGTTGCACTTTGATTGGCAATCATAGGGGGAATTTTGCTTCTTAAGAATGTTGGAAGAGAACATATGAAATTGTAAACAAGACAGACGAAAGTATAAGTATAATGAATAAAAAGATATAGAAATTTAGGTAAAAGAAATACAATTGAATAAGAAGAAAATGAGATAACTATAAAAGAAAATTAAGAGAAGTAAAGGGAGAAATCGTGAGGAGTTGGAAAAAGAATAATAAGATATGAAATTGAATAAATAAGATGAATATGCATATGAAATTGTGTCTCTATGGAAATGTGATAATCTGGAACCATGCTGTACTCAAATAAGATGTTTTATTTGTTTTGTTAAAACTCAACAAAACTTTATTAAAAAAAAAAAAGAATTAGATACAACAGATCCACAACCGTCACGGTCACAAGCACCACTGCCACCACTTGAACTTGGAGAAAGCAGCAAGTCAATCTCTGAAACTGAAAGTCTTCTTGATCCTCCAGACTGCTGGACATTGCAGCAATATAGAAGCTTTCAAGAGAAATATGAGGGACTGGAAGTTTCAAAGAAAAAATTAGGTTGTAAGTACTGTGCAAAACATGACTTTGTGGGAGAGAAAGGTGTTCATGTGTCCAAGGAGTGGAAACATTTCAAGATTGAGGAGGCAGGGACAACTAAGGAAGTTCAGCAAGCTTCTCTTAGGAGATTTTATATCAAAAGCTCATGCCATTTGCAGTGATAACGTAAAACAAGGGGAGCAGGATGCTATAACAAAATCACTAGATAAGATGTCTGACCAATATTTATCTACTACTTGTAGAGTATTTTTGACAGTTTACAATCTGGCATAAAGATGTAAACCCTTTTCAGACATAGAAAGACAGGTAGAATTGCAAACTGTAATTGGAGTAGATCTTGGAGTAGGATTGAATTCATGGTCAACTACAGTGAAAATAGTTGATTTCATTGCAAAAGAAATTAAAACCAAATGTTTACTAGCATTATTGAACAGAACCTGAAAATATGATTAATTATTGACGAAGCCTCAACGCTATCATGCAAACCAGTTGTGATAGTTTTCGTAAAAGTTGAGGATTCAGATAACCCACCAACAATTTTTGTTGAGCTTGTTGAATTGGAAAAACAAGATGCAGAGACAACAGGTTCTTCAGTTTTGGAAAGTTTACATAATGTTGGGTTTACTACAGACTATCTGCAAAAGAATTTAATAGCATTTTACTGTGATGGTGCCAGTGTTATGCTTGGAAGAAAATCTGGAGCGAGCACTAGAATACCAAAAAACTTACCTAACATCATAATATGGTACCGCTTAAACCATCACTTCCAACTTGTTTTAGATGACTCCATTAAGGACATTAACCAACTGAATCGTTTCAAAATATTTATTGACAAGATTCACAGTATTTTCCATATATCCTGTAAGAGCCAAAATTAACTATTCGAAAAATCCAAACAACTTGGAATTGAAACTGTAAAGATTGGTAGAGTTTTGGGACCAAGATGCGCTGCCTGTAGTTTAAGGTCAACCGTAGCTGTGTTGTGTGCTTATCCAGCGCTACATCAGTACTTTCATGCAAATGAAAAATACTCCGGTATGGCTACCCATCTTTAAAATATATATATTTTAAATGATTTGGCATTGATGATCGATATTCTCAATGAAGTATCTCTTCTGTCAAATGCACTGCAAGGAAGAAATACTGACATCATAAAGGCAGAAAAACTTTTGCTGAGATCAATTAAAGCATTTGAAATGCTCAGACAGGGAAAGAGTCCCTACGAAAAAAAAAAGGTTTGATGGATTAATTACTTCAGTAACCTTCAAAAATATAAAATTGCAGTTGTTCTAGCAGGATCTTACTGACATTTACTCAATTGCCTCTTACAGCAAAACTCATGGTCTGTAAGAAGCTTACAAAGCATCAAGGGGATCTCATTATTGGAACGTATCAGTCTGAAGGGTACTAAATGATTTTCAAGGCATTGGATATACCATAGAACACAATGTAGAGTAGACCAGCAGTCGGCAACTGGTGGGCCATGGCCCACTGGTGGTCCGCGAGAAAATTTTGGTGGGCCTCAGAGAAATGCCACCTCAGAGCCTCAGAGAAATGCCACCCCTTAAGCACCTACCCAAAGCAATTAATCCAGGCTGCGCAAGAACACAAGGCTGAGCTACACACATGGCCCGCGGGAACCCTCCCTGCCCACTCACTCCTTACCCGGCAAACTTGCCTGCTAAATTGCTATTTTTCCCGGTTTTTTTCTTCCGACCATCAGCTGTTCTGCTGTGCCAGGAGATTTAGATTAGCTAGGAAGCAGGAAATGGTTGGATTTCTTGCTTTCTAGCTAGTCTTTAGATCCTCGGCTCTGCTTTTAAGCACAGCTGAACCTCCCTTAGGACTGAAGGTTCTATTATTCAGTGCAGACTCATGGCAAGCAAATTTTATGTGGCAGACTGAGCTAGCCGATGGCAGATAGATAGATCAGTGAATGATTCTGTGAGCAACTCAATCTGCCTGCCTGCTTTGCCTGATTTTGGGTAAATGTTGCTTTTTTTATAAAAAATTCAATATTTATATAAATATTTATAATATTTACATACAAGCCATGCCCAGCCAGTCACATGACCAAGCCACACCCACAAATTAGGCCATGCCCACAGAACTGGTTAGTGGACCCTATGATTTAAAATTATGAGTTTGGTGGTCCCTGAGGTCCAAAAGGTTGGAGACCCCTGGAGTAGACGGCCATCAACAAATGGAGAAAATGACAGTGAGACAACAACAGTGACATTACCAACAACTGGATGTCCCTACAAAATTGAGGGAAAAAAAAACAAGAAATGGGTCTAAGAAACTGCCAAGACACCTGTAAGGGAGCTGCAGGAATTTCTGGCAAGTACTGGTTATGTGCTACATGTCTCCTGTATTGTTCATGTCTGGGCTGTGGGATCCAAGCAAACACCTACTTGAAGTCTTACAAAAACATGCAGGAAAATGTGTAGTCTGATAAGACCAAGGTTGAAAGTTTTGGCCATAATTCTAAAAAATATGTTTGGTGCAAAAAAGTACACTGTGCATCACCAAAAATGCACCACACTCACAGTGAAACATGGTGGTAACAGCAGTGTGCTTTGGGGCTGTTTTTCTTCAGCTGCAACTGTGGCTTTAGTCAAGGTAGAAGGAATTTTGAACAGTTCCGACTATCAGTTTTGGCTGAAAATCTTCATGCCCCTGCTAAAATGCTGAAGATGAAGAGGAATTTGACTTTCAACATAACAATGACCCAAAGCATACCTCCAAATTAACATAACAATGGCTTACCCAGAAGAATATCAATGTTTTGAAACGGCTCAGCCAGTGCCTGGACCTGAATCCAACTGAAAAATTGTAGGGTAACCTGAAGAGGGCTGTGCACAGGAGATGCCTTTTCAATCTGACAGATTTGGAATGCTTTTGCAAGGAAGAGTGGATAACAATCCCAAGGCAAGATAGGTTGTTAGGCTCCTACTCCAAAAGACTGAATGCTGTCATAAAAGGGTGCTTCAACAAATTAGTTTAAGGGTGTGCACATTTGTGCAACCACATTATTCTATATTTTTATTTTTCAATTAAATTGTACAATTTATATGTTATATTAAAGGGGAAAGAATATTGAACTGTTTTATGTTGGTCTGATTTTTTTTACATCTCAAAACCTAGGCAATTAACAAGGGGTATGTCGACTTTCTATATACACTAGATCAAAAGAAAGAAAGAAAGAAAGAAAGAAAGAAAGAAAGAAAGAAAGAAAGAAAGAATTAATTCTTTATTGGCCAAGTGTGATTAGACACATAAGGAATTTGTCTTGATGCAAGACAGTATGTATTTGAATTCAGTCCAAAAATTAAAAAAACGAGAAGAGCCAGAAACGTTGCTTAATCAGAAAGGAAGATCTAATATTAGATGCTACGGAAAAGTTGATATTTTAATATTACAGAAACAATGAACTACCATAAAATTTATTTTCCTCCCTCATTTCTGTCCTGCTGGTTTCTTGTGGCAAATTTCTTAGTTATTAGTTAAATACAAATGTTATCACGTTTGCCAAAAAACGCCTCCCATAACCTTGCTCCAAGCAAAATGAGCCATTTCCAGATCCTCATTCTGGCCAATGGCATCTTGGCACCGTTCTTGAGTCTAACCTGCGTCTTTCCTCAGATGAACTATAAATTTACACAAAACCCTCTCCTCCGTCGCCTGTGCATAGGAACTGGGGTCTATTATTACAGTCTAATACACCGACCCTTGACAGATACCGTAGTAAACATCATGACCTTAGAGTCTCTGGTCTATTAGAATAAAAGGAAATTGCCGGAAGTAGCAAAGCCACCGGAAACTACAATTCCCAGAAAACTGCGAGGACTTTTTCCGCAACTGATCCTTAACTCCGCCGGGGTTTGATTTTACTGTATGTGGGAAAGTAGCGTCATGACGCAAAGAAGGCGGGTCCGGCGTGAAAGCAAAGGGAAGTATTCGATCCTTTTTTCGTGGTTGGCTGGCTCAGTTGCGGCGGGGGACCTTCTTGGAGGACTAGCTCATCCCTTGGCTTTTTGCGGTTGCGCCAAGCGCTCCCAGTAGCGGCTTCGGAGCCTGGTCTACTTGGGGGTCGTGAGAGGTGGGAACGTCGGTGGGTCTGTCCGATTCTTCTTCATGGAGGTGGGCCTTTGCGCCCAGCCCTTGCTTACGGTGCCTGGCTTTCTTTATTGGCGTGAACATGAACTGGTAGTGGTGGGACCCGGCGGAGCTGGTTAGTTAGCGGGCTACTTGGCTAACGCGGGAGGGGCTGGCTCGCTGCCTGCTCCAGCGGCGGTCAGTCGATCTGGTGGGGATAGAAGAGGCTTTGGCGTCACCCCGCCATGAACTATCAGCAACAGCAGCAACAGCTGGCGAATTCTGCGGCCATCCGGGCGGAGATCCATCGGTTCGAATCGGTGCATCCCAACATCTACTCCATTTATGAGTTACTGGAAAGGGTGGAAGAGCCCGTGCTGCAAAACCAGATCAGGGAGCACGTCATCGCCATTGAAGGTAAGGAAGGTGTCCAACAATGTACCTTGATCGAGCCGTCAGCTTCTCCATACACACTTGACCTTTATCATCAAGAGAGGTGCCCAGGACCGGCGCTCCTCATGTCTATGGGAATATTACATTTTTGTCGCCTTCTTGTACACAGTGGGAGCGGATATGATTTGATGTAACCGAACTTATTTCTCTGCAGATATTCGTAGTGGTCGCTCTTATTTCCTTCTTGACTCTTTCCCTTATTTCCATATTAATGCGACAAAAATTATATGGATTAAGAACAATCTAGGAATTCACTCATGTAAAAAATTATAATTTATTGAATAAGCCAAAATTAAGATGAGGCAGAGTCCTTATAAAGTACAGTTTGCTTCACACATGTTAAGCTACTATCAAGTGTAATGTTTTGGTGCATTGTGCGAACTTGGACATTTTATAAACTTGATCTATTATTTATGTGCTTGCATATTACCCATTCCTGGAGGCTCTGGGAGGCTAATAGTGTCATCCATTCTGCTTGCCCCCACCCTCCACATATAAAAAATAAGGGTGGTTGCTTATTTGTTTTAATAAACAGCTTTGTTAATGAGTCTCCTGAGAATCACTACCTACTGGATTTTTGGTCCAGATCAGCTTTCAAAAAGATAAAGCTAATTTAGTAGCTCTAAGTCTAATTGATGACTTGGAAGGATGGATGTGTCAGGCTATTATTTGGAAGTTGCATAAGCACAGAATATTTTTTTAGGGGGTGAAGAGGGGAACAAATAAAAAAAAAACCTTATATATATGTATTTTTAACACTGCTAACCTGAAAGATGCTGCTGCTGAATTTCTGACAAACTCAGAAATTAATTATACTAGTTCAACACACTAATTTCATCTGCTGACAATTTAGAGCTAAAATTCTTTAAGAACTATGTGGAAGTAGCTCAGATTTTGCATACAAGTCTAATATGTAAGCGGATTGTTTATTGAAAATGTATTTGTTGGCTATCTCAACTTTTTAAAATTTTAGGCAGCATACAAATAATCTATATAAAGTAAAATGCAGAATAGCAAACAAGTAATAGAAATATTCTAAATAGTAAGAATTGGGGCAGCTCAATGACAGTAAATTGTCCCATAGTTTATTTCACAACATAAAAAGTGGAATGGCTGTTGATATTAAGCATGTGTCAGGATTGCAAAAGGTGCCCTGCTAAAGATGTGAGATGGAGAAGCCAAACCTGCAAGTAATTTGGACTCAAACTGTGTAAGATGTTATTAAATGAATATCCTAAATGGAGCCCCAAAGCAGTCAATAATCAACGCAAATTTTTCAAAACAGTAGTGATCAGGCACCTCATCAGTGATATAGAAGACTGTATCACTAGAATGCAATCTTGAAACTAGCAACACCTGTGTCACTGCTTCTTCTCCAGGAATTGGAACATATGGTTTATTATGCAAAGCTTACAGGAAAGGAGAAATACTCCTGAGTTTACTGGTGATACTTTAGTCTAAATTTAGGATGGTCCTTTGGCGCCTACTTGTAGATGATAAATAACATGACTGTTAAGATGAAATGTGCCTTCCCACTGAATTCCTAGGGTGACAAACAGAAATCTCTAAATGATATTTCTGATAATGCTCAGAAAGATAGGAGCAAAACTTACTATAAGGTAGTTTGTTCCATTCCCAGATGTCTCAAATGCTTCAAAAGGCTTGGATTAGATACGTAGCTTCTCTTGTCCCCTATTTTCTTTGCTGCATGATGCAATTACATGGCTATACCTTGATTTTTAGTTGAACATGAAGTATGTTCTGAATTTTTGTGTTTGGGCCAGAAAGATCCAAAAGGCCTTCAAAGTTAGGTTTCAGAGAAAAGAATTTTGGGCAACTTATAACTTAAAACCAACATATTCAAAGAAATAAAGACAAAGGGCAAAATACAAAAAGAAATCTTAACAATAAGATAAAAATAAAGCAAATTAAGAAGGAGGCTCCAAAATCACCTTTCCTGAATAACATAAGGGATAGGAGTCACAGAAATGTCTAGAAGACATCATTCCACAGGGCAGGAATTGCAACAGAGTACACTTCCTGGATCTTGCAGTAAGACATTCTTTTAATTGATAGGATCTATAGCACATCCACTTTGTGGATGGGCTGACACAAGTATACACAAAGAAACAGTTTGATATCATAATTAAGGTGCTAGCCTAGAAGCCAGGAGACTACAGGTAGCCCTTGATTTACAACCGTTCATTTAGTGACTGTTCAAACTTACAATGGCACTGAAAAATGTGACTTATGACCATTTTTCTCAGTTATGATCTTTGCATCCTCGTGATCCTATGATCAAAATTCATATGCTTGGCAACTGGTTCATATTTATGGGACATTGGTGTGTCCCAATGTCATGTGATCACCTTTTGTGAACTTCTGACAAGCAAAATCAGTAGGGAAGCCCAATTCACTTAACTGAATTACTAATTTATCAACTACAGTGATTCACTTACCAACTGTGGCAAGAAAGATTGTAAAATGGGCCAAAACTCAGTAAATGACTCAACAACAGAAATGTTGGGCTCAAATTATGGTCATAAGTTGAGTCATCATCTGTATGAGTTTTGGTACCCACCTTAGGCATGAAAGCTGGCTGGGTGACTTTAGGCTAGCCACTCTCTCAGCCCAGCCCACCTCACAGGGTTCTTTTTTGAAGGAAAAATGGGAAGTGGACAGTCTTTCAATCTAGAGACTGCAGCTCATATTTTTAAATATGGAATCAAAGTTTGTACTTTGTAGTAGTAAGAAATAAAGTGGAAGAATTATTAGTTTATTTTAATAAACTATTTTTAAATATGGAATCAAAGTTTGTAGTAGTAAGAAATAAAGTGGAAGAACTATTAGTTTATTTAATTATAAAGTCATTGAACCAGTTTTCTGGCAATTGATTCATTTTTATAAAATGCTTATTCTAATCAGTTTTTAAATGAATAGTTTTGTGAATAATTGTAATTGATTTATTCAGATTTTAGCCAATGAAGGAAGTTATTGATTGTATTTGAATGGAACTTTCTATGTATATCAAAATGTGTTTGAACTTTATTTAATCTTTGTTGTGTAAATGAAGATCTTATCTATTTTAAACATAGTGTATGGATAAGAATAGGATCTAGAAGTATCTAATATTTTCCAAACATGGTAAAAAAACAGTGCTACTATTGCTGCTATAGACTTGCCTGAAGTCTTATAATATTTGACATCCTCAAGACAAATTCCAATGTATCTGAGTGTAGTAAAATGATCCAGATGAATCTATGTTCGTGATGTTAATAAATCTGCTTTATAAGTTATTTCCTTGGACAGAACATGATGAAACAGACTGGCTCAAGGTCAGCAAAAGTTTGAGCCAAGACTGTATACTCTCTCTTCCTTCATTCTATATCCTGAATATATTTTGAAGAAAGTTGGATTGAAAGAAGATGACCATGGCGTCAAGAAACAAAATGAAAAGCAGGTCTACAATTAACTAATGACAATAGGTCCAGGAGCTACCTTAGCATGGATAGTGAAGGCATTAAAAAATGATATCTGTGAAAATTAATCAGAAATGGCGGAAGATTCATTACCTGGTAGAATGGCAATGAAGGCCTCAGAAAAAAGGCCTTTGAGTGTCATGACTACAAAATTTAGAATCATGCATTCTAATAAATTTTGGAAATAAACTGCAACAAATGAGAGATCAAACAGATTCCTGACCAACCTAGCTGACAACTTCAAAAGGTAAAGGTGGAAACTAGAACAACTATATTGGACCTTATTCTTAACATAGAGGGGGTAGATGTTGCAGGAACTTTGGGAGAAAGTGACCATGTCATAATAGAATTAAATATAAAAGAGGCATAAGCAATAGAACATAATTAAACCAGTGTTTTAGACTTTAAAAGAGCTGATTTTAACAAATCCAGAGAGACCTTGGGAAGGATCCCATGGATGAAAATCTTAAAAGGGAAAATCAACTCAAGGTGCTTTAGAAACTTTGAAAAATATGATTATAAAAGCCCAATCCACTTCAATACCACTAAAAAGGAAAATAAGAAAATCAAGAACAAAGCAGCATGGTTGCACAAAGAACTCTCAGACCAACAGAGAGAAAAAGGACAAGTACAAAAAATGGAAAGAGACACATAACTAAGGCAGAATACCAACAAATAGCTTGAATCTGCAAAGATGAAGTTAGGGTTATGAAAGTTAAGGCTTTGAATGTAGTAAGACTTGCAACAAATGTCAGAAACAAAAAAGTTTCCTTCAACACAAGAAACAAGTCAAACAATTATTTCACTAATGGGAGAAGATGGCAAAGAAATAACAGGCAGTAGAGAAAAAACAGAAATGCCTAATTAGTATTTTACATCTGTCTTCATGCAAAAAGAAAACACTGTGAGATGATCTTGGAGTCCTAGTGGACAATCATTTAACTATGGTCAACAGTGTGCAACAGCAGCAAAAAAAAAGAAGCCAAAACACTCCTAGGTAGCATTAATAGAAGAACAGAATCAAGATAACATGAAGTTCTAGTACTGCTTTACAAAGTCTTACTGAGACCACACTTGGAATACTGCATCCAGTTCTGGTCACCAAAATATAAAAAAGATGTTGAGACTCTGGAAAGATTGAATAGAAGAGCAACAAAAACGATTAGAGGGCTGGAGGCTAAAACATACAGTATGAAAAATGGTTACAGCAATTGGTTATGTCTAGTCTAATGAAAAGAAGGACCAGGAGTGACATGATAGCATTGTTCCAATATTTGAAAGACTCCTACAAAGATGAGGTCAAACTATTTCCCAAAGCATCAAAAGGCAAGACAAGAAACAATGGTTGGAAACTAATCAAGGAGAGAAGCAACCTAAAACTAAGGAGAAATTTCCTAATGGTGAGAGCAATCAACCAAGAAATTGTTAGTGATGGAGCTCCATCACTGGAGGCTTTCAAAAAAAAACCTGGACAACCATTTATCT